ATACGTCATTATTCTTCTTCATGTTTCGTTTTCTAGGAGTCATTATCAAGTGAATACATCATAGAATGAAAATAAAATAATAAATGTCACCCAAGAGTCCACAGCTGGATCCCTAGTTGAGTCATAATCGTATATCGCTGAAAAGTAGCAAACTAATTCAAAAGGGACATTCAGTACCTTCCCTGTTGGTTTCCATGGTTTCCACTTTGTCTACTTTAAGATATATACCGATGAATAAGACAAAAATGGTTCATTACGATCAATTCATTCTTAATTTTAGGAGTTGGTTTGTAGGGATATGAGTGGTTTCAAGATTTCATCATGAAATGAAAACCTTAAGGGAACCATTAGGAAACTTTCAGGGAGTACTGAACAGCTGTTTCTTCCTAGTTCACTACTCTTCCACAGTACACATCCACCGGGGTTCGAAATTAGGACCATTAGGTTACAAGGCGAGAGCATAAACGATTAAGCCACTGGCACTTTATCGATAGGCCCCCTGCCAAATGATGATATAGCACCACCACCACTATCCAATGACATTGGTGAGTATTTGTCCTCAGTGGTCTGTGATCTAACCGATGTCAGCTGATAATGAAATCCTATAATCATTCTCACCTGTTGTTGTTTGTCTAAAAGATGAAAACTTCGTCTATTTAATCGAGTGACCTTAGCTAGCAAGACAGATAAAAGTTTATAGATCAAATAAATTGAGTTCCCTGACTCAAAGACACTTTACAGTGACAACATGAATGACAATTTTTAAAACCTCATTCTCTTTCTGACAGCTCAGTAGCTCTCTCAGGTTAACAGCAAAACATACTTGTCATGTGCTGAAATCAATGAACCATTTGAGTATATACACAATGTATAAGTGCTCAGTACAAAATTATGCCTAACAAGAAGACAATTTTAATATGTTAATGCATATTAAAATCAACTAAATATATAGAACTGGTTCTATATGAAGCATACAACCGAACATAGTACAGCTTAAAACCAATATAATACTCAATAGAAATGTCACAGCACCGAAAACTGTTAGCACGATTTGTAACAAATTTTTGTTAACAATTTTCTTGGGTTTCAAAAGCAACGCAGGGCTTTAATAGAAAGTACCATTTAACAGTCTTCTCTACAGTCCTCTTTAGCCAACCCACGATTGGCCATAAGCTGCCATCTTTTCCTCACATGATCCATTCCATGTCACCATTGGACCCATGCTCAACTTACTGTTTCCCATTCACCTTACACTCGTAAGGTCGAAGAACAATTTCACTCAACAGTCTTCCCGGTATGTGTCCGTTCTGTCACCAAATCCTTCGGCATATTTGTCGACCAACAGGTTCATGGCTGTGTCATTGTCAGACTTCCCTGTCGTTCATCCTTTCTGGCCGGCAATCTAATCTACAGTAGGTAGCGAAGTCAGTTGTGACTGAATGTTTTTGGTGACGCGCATGGTGAGCCTGTAAACTGTATAGAATCCCTCACTGATTTGACATTAGTGTTGGGAATCGGCATCTTGTTCTTTATGCCAATCACTCACAAAAACAGGTGTGGTTTTATCATCCTGAGATCCTGTGAAACAAATCAGGAGAAAATCCTTCTGGTAACTGAGTTTTAAAAGGGTGCTTGCTTGAATTAGATCATTTAGGAGTATTAAACTAAAATGTTTTACAACTTTCCAAGCTTTGGATGATGTATATATATAAATATATACTACTGGATGATAGGAAGAGTGGCGTTTCCTAGCTAGCTAAGGATAACCAAACCGCCTAAGAAAAATTTCCATCGCTCGAAGTTACACTTTAATGCTGTGCATCCAAATTATCTCAGCTTAGCAAGACAAAACAATTCTGTAAATCGTTATTTATGCCTCCTTGCTCAGGCTAGCGACTACTTCTCATGAATGTGACCTTCAGTTACTCATATCGGTGTATGGGGTTGGTGAGTATCCCACCTCTGAGACACCAATATCTATCTCACCTCTGAATAAACTGGATTTCAAAATAAATCACTGATGAATTTCCACCTTGAACTATACACCTTTCAAAGGACGACTTTCAATTCTTTACCCTTCTAAGAGGAATCCAGTTAGTTTTGTTCTCTTTTATTTCCATCTATTTTCACATTTTCTATTATTATTATTATTATGTGAGGTAATAAATTATCACTAAGTCAAGTGGATAAAGGATAATCAAATCAGTAAAAAGGCAATACTAGACTTTTATTCAATAAGTCTCTTTATCATCAACTTTCAACTGCAGACTTCTCCAAGTACCTCATAATCGTTCACATGACATATAAGTGGTTATATTTGACCTCATATATATTTAAGAATTTATTTTTCCTTTAAATAGCTGCATAACAATTTTTGTTTTGTTTTATACTCGAACTCATTAGTCATTGAAAAAAGATCTGACTACCTTTCATCTAACTCCACTGTTAGACTAATTTTGACCTAATTATTTCAAATATCTTGGTTCATTTTCTACTGAATGAAAATATCAGTGTAAATTAGATTGAACTATAGAATAAATTAAAAGACACTTCACTCAGTAGATTAATTCAACAGCGAGAAATTAGAATAAAACAACCTTTGTGAAATGAACCATCATAAAGTTATTTTGGTTGATGCTGGCTAACAATGAAGTCTAATTTTGTGTATATCGCCCCACCGGCGATTCATCATCTGTGTGTACCTACACTTCTTCTCAGTGGTTTAAAATGCCAAACCAGGATTTCTAAACTCAGTGGGAACACCATCAATCACTGAAATTATAGGCACAAACAGATAACAAGCCACAAGTAGGACGGAGTAGGAATACTGGACTCCACTGTTAGTCACCATCAACCAAAAATAAATCAGCGCTAATCTCAAGACATCGTCAAGTACCCTCTACTGGAAGGCGAAATGTCAGCAGACACCAAGCATTTCAGTTCAACGAAATGAACCGATAGCAAAGCAAATCAACCCGAAAATAAGTTATCATGTTACTAAATACATTTGTGTCTCTGTACTAGCTCAGTAGTAACTCATATGACCACAGCATGAGGTGATATGGGTTCAAATAACTCAGAAAAAATCAATTCCGTCGAGTTAGCAAATACGCTTTGTTAACGAGTGCCAACCAGCACTCAAATCTAAGTCCATGTCTTCCTGATGATTGTCCCTAATCGTCTAGTACCACTTAAATAACTCTCCTCTACAGAAATGATACTCTTCACCTTACGTAAATTATATCCGATAGCGTACACAATATTTTGCTTCACTTTAAGCCAATGATTTGGCTTCAGTATATTCCAGTTCTGGAAAGTCTATCTGAACGATGTATACGGACACACACGTTACAATAAATTTGTCAGACTATGGGGATTTTGATTAATCTCAGTGCAGATTTAGTCATGAACCAAAATCATTTATAGGCCTCTAGAAACTAGGAAGAAGTGGACAGGCTTTTCACCTCAATTTGCGACTCTTCAGTGGTACATACTTATTACCCTATTCAGGAGCCAAACTCAAGATCTTCAAGTTATGAAATCAAGCTGGTTGGCCATTCAGCAACTTGCGGCAGAATTCAGTGAGGCGTAAATTCTAAATTTAATTGTTTGAAGATGTCCATTATAAAATTTCATAAACTGAGTTATAAACAATGAATATTCTTTTCAATAAATTCGTCATCAGGTTCAATATTCATATGACCATTGAACATTTAAAATTATTGTTATTAGCAACTTGAATGTTTTAAACTACACTGAACCAATAGCATCGACAGACTGAATTTCAGAAGCACTAGTAATAATTTTGAGAAAGTATTAGGGAATTTATGAATCTATTAGTTCTAAAGCAGCCTAGGATAGCAATAGTGGTTCCATACAGAGTTTCAAGCGGACTACCATGACTTCTGCTGCTTACAATGTTCGATATTTGGAGGCATTTGGGAATTTATTCGATACTTGATACATGGTAGAAAAAGAATCTTCAACGCTAGATTTCTGGCGTGTTTGGACAAACTGTTGCAATATCGAAATGCTAACCACCCTTTTATCTATCTACACTGGCAAGTGTTTCTGAGCATGAAAAATTAAGTTCCTAGAGCAACGGTCAATAAAATAGGCTACACGTAGGCAGTCGAATCGACAGGTACAAGATGAGATGGCTAACCTGCGTACCTTTTCTCCAAGTATTATATGAAGGCAGATCATCTCTCACTGACGCTTCTGAAATGTTTTAATCTCTTGGTACTGTTGATTCAGTGTAGTTTAAAACAGTAATGTTGCTAATAACAGCATTTCTTTCGTTATTATGGCCTTATGAATATTGCTGCTGTTGACGAATTTATCGGAAGGAACATTCTTTATTCATTATAAATTTTTAACTTTGTTGGTTGGTGATGCTGCACTACTTTCAATAAATGCCTTATCAAATAAGCATCCACTTCACCTTAATATGGTTGATCCCACGACTTCTCAGTACAACTTCAGTGTGTATTCGATGATCTATAACTGAAGTCGACATTTTTTGTTAAGACACAAACAAATTTTTCATAGCACCTGGTGTCATAGTTTCATCTACTTATGGTTTACATTAAATATTTGTAAACTGCTTAACTGAGATGAATTTCGCATATATACTAGCCTACTTAAGTAAATGCTTAAATTAGAAGAATATAACTTAATGCTGCCCTCTGAAACTAAGTATGCCTATAAAGACTGCAGATGCTGTTGGCTCTGAACAAGCCAAAGGAATTTAGAAATGTTAAATCATTTCTAGCTTGATATGAAGTATTCTCGGTTGGTGTCAGTGTTAACCGGTATATTCTGCAAACGCCTCAGTTTTCCCTTACCCCTAAATGATGATTTAAATGGGTGTTATAAGCTCATACTAAAATGAACCAATATTTTAAATTTTGTCTTTTCATTTTTAGTACATTCCACAAACTCAATCGACCAGAATCCAAATGTTAGTGGCTGTAATCCATAAAACCCTCAGAATACAGATGTATGATATAATGTGTAAATATTCATTAAAATATTTCACTCTACTTATCTACTTTTCTGTATTTCTAAATATTCATTTAACAAAATCTATTCAAATAAATGAACCAAATGTATTCTATGTTAATGATGATACAAATGAAGGTCAGAGAATCGGTCGTATAACACATTTTAACGGAATCAACATGTCAATCTGAAATCAGGTCATTTAAAAGCAGTCATTGTTCGAGCGAATCGACCACCGGCAGCCTATTTCAAACTGAATGAGAATACTGGAGATTTGTATACACGAACTGTTATCGATCGTGAATCACTGTGCCTGAAAACATTTCAGAATGATGAACGTCCTAATTCTATGCCAAGAAATTTAAACATTGATTTTTCTGATTCAAATTATCAGTCAGGAGCATTTTTATCAAATTCAAAAATTGTCAATCAGTGTAAATTTACCTTTCAAGTAGCTCTGCATCGTCAAATATCTCAACAACAACAACAACAGCAACCACAACAGTATCAGTCAAATGATCCTGGACTTCATCATTTACCAGAGTTTATTGATATCCACGTCTTTGTAATTGACCGTAACGATCATATTCCTACATTTCAACCACATTCCGTTATTAACTTGTCAATTCCAGAATCTGTACCCATAGGTACACGTGTCCAGCTCCCATTAGCCTATGATCCAGACTCACCAGAGTTCAGTGTACAAAGGTATGAGTTATATCCTTTGGAATCAACAGATTTCAGCTTATACATTCAAACGACAGATGTGATACATGATGCAAATTTGATACAAGAGATAACTGGATTGTATTTAGAATTGAAGACAACTCTTGACAGGGAAACAAGAGAAAGTTATGCGCTTGAAGTAAAAGCATTCGATTCACCATTGTCGACATCATCATCGTCACCATCAACATCCGCTTCATCCCCTTCATCGCCTACAATGAATGCATTCATACCTCGTCTAAATGACAATCGTAATGTACTAAAAATATTTCTAACTATTGAAGACATCAATGATAATGGTCCAATTTTTCAACCACAAAATACTTCAACACAGATTGACTCACATAATGATGCAATCATCAGAACTAATCCATCATCTTCGTCATTATCCTCATCGTCAACACCAATGCACCCAATAGGTATAATAACTTACAAAGTTGATATAATTGAATCAACTTGGCCAAAATCATCAGTTTTACAGCTGATAACAAAAGATTTAGACAGTTCCAAGTATTCTTTAACTAGATATGAATTTTCATCAAATGTTGAAAGCATTGTTAAACAATTGTTTAAATTAAATGAACATTCCGGTGAATTATTCCTTAAACAACCATTAGACTATGAAAAACGTACTAGTTATTCATTTGATGTATTAGCTATAGATAGTGAATATGATCGTCGTAGTAAAATGGAAAGCAGCGGCAGTAATCTACATTTAGTTAGTTCAAGGTTACAACAGAATATATTTACGTCGACAGCTAATATTCTCGTGAATGTTATAGATATTAATGATGAAGTACCAATTATTGAGGTCGATTATCTTCGCGTTGATGAAACAACTGGTAGACCAGCAACATTTGCACGTATAGAAGAGAATAGTGATCCACCACAGTTTATAGCAGATATTTTAGTTACAGATAGAGATGTGAACGCAGCTAATAGTCATGTGATATGTACGCTAATGAATAAAGCGAATAAGTATCAGAGTAACCATCATCACAATAATAATAATAATCATAATAGTGACAATAAAACTTATTCAATTACAAATTCATTTCAACTTTCTGAAGTTAGACGTCAACCTGGCTTAGTTCAGTATAATGTGTTAACAGTACGTAGCTTAGACAGAGAGGTGAATGGCGCGATAACACGGATTAAAATTCAGTGTTCAGACTCTGGTGAAATAAAAAGATTTCTGAAGCTGATTTAATTATTCATATATTAGATTTAAATGATAACTCACCGGTAATTCATTTGATCCCACAACAAACAAGTGGATCTAATAATAATAATGGAGAGAATATTGTATTTCTTAGGGAAAATGCACCGATCGGTACAACTGTTGCCCACTTTAATGTAACTGATCAAGACTCTGGTGAGAACAGCAGGACTAGTTGTACACTGTTAACTATGAATGATCCCGTCCTATTAAATTTAAATGATTATTTTCATGTAGATCCAGTATTGTGTAATTTAATGACACGTAAACCAATTGATCGTGAATCAACCTATCCGCCAATAGATGAAATTGACTTAAGCATTGAAGTTAAAGATCATGGTCAACCGGTACGTAAATCATCGATCAGCTTTAAAGTGAAAGTTATCAATGAGAATGACAATGTTCCAGTATTTCAGAATACTTTTTATCGTTTCTCTGTTAAAGAGAATTCACCTATTGGTATAAGTATTGGTCAGATAGTTATTACTGATTTAGACGGTGATTATGCACGATTAGATGTCCGATTACAAAAACAAGAACAATTGCCATTTAAACTATGGAAATCAGAAACCTCTTATGGGTATATTTCAATCGATCATTCTGAAGCTCAAGTTGTAGTCTATTATCTTAATACCACGCGAATATTGGATCGTGAAGAGAAGTCGAGTTATGAATTTGAAATTTATGCAAATGATGTAAGCGAAGAAGGACTGTTGGGTCAACATAGACTATCAGTGAAAAGTTTCAGTCATACAACAAGTGCAACAATTTTAGTGACAGTCGAAGATGAAAATGATAACGATCCTGTGATTATATTTCCTCAACAACCAAATAAAACATTTATTCTTTCTAATTCTGAAAAGAAATATTATCAGTTGATGACTGTGAATGCAAATGACAAAGATCCTTCGTCGAATTCATTCACATTTATGCTAGAAACTGAAGAAGACCTTAAATCAAATGATAATTCTAAAAGTATTGAAACCGACGATACTGATACAAAACTTTTGAAGTCAACAGAGTTAAACACCAACCGTAAATATCCACTATCCAATTCTTTTTTAGAGATTGATCGAAGTGTAGGCACAGTTTACTTGAGCAGAGATATTCATCAAAATGACACAGGAACCCATGCATTCCGTGTGATTGTACATGATAGTATAATCAATCCACGTACAGCTTCACTTAGGTTTATTGTTAAAATTGAACCAGTTCCACCACGGTCACATCAAATGAAATTAAACAGTTTAGTCGATAATGATCATGCTGAACGTCGAATACTTTCAGGTGAAAGTTCTTTAAACCCCGAGTACAGTGAACATAACTATGCCTTCAACAATCATTATTCCAAGTCGTCCAGTAGTCAAGACTTTTTGATTCACAGAAAGTATGACTATATGCGGACAACTTTTGATAATCATTCCATGCCTTTCGGATCATCTTCACCAGGAGTTTCATCATCATCGAAACAGTTGACACGTCGTCTAACAGGTGATACGGTACTAATCCTTTCGTTAGGTTTAATTTTGTTAATCCTTTTAGCAACTTTGTGTTTAGTGATTTTCGCGCGTCATTGGTCATCAGGTTCATCAAGTGTCCCACAGAATTCCAACACTTCAGATAAAATTAGATGTTCAGAAATATTTTGTTGTAATCCTACCAGTAGTAATAGTAATGGTAACAAACATCAGATGACAAATAATGAAACCTTGAAAAAAGAAGTAGTCAACATTTTTCATTCAACGTCTCCAACAAATTTACAAGATCCACAACAGATAAATTTAAACTGTGATACATTACGATCTTTGGATACATTTAATGCTAGTCTAAATGATTCATATAGTCAAAAAATGTTAGACAGTGAACATATTTATTATCGTGATTGTAGACAATTTTCTCTTCTACCTGTGATAACAAGTCCAGTTGGCGGAGACAATGGATCATTCCCTACGGATTATACAGCCTTAAGAGCTGTAACATCCTGTAAGTGTTGTACACCACCTCCAACAGGATATACTTATAATAATACAGACATTGGAAATCCACATTCACTAGAATCTTTTACAAATGAATCTTTAAAAAGTAGTAAGCAACAGACAAATCATATCCCTAATGGTTCTACTGTCACATATTATACAACTTTAACGCCAAGACCGAGATCTGAAAATACAACGGATAAACGTAAAGTTCGTATTATGACAGTCAAAGAGAATATGGAGATGGAACCTGAAAAAAACTTCGCCAATGATTATTCAGTAACATGACAGGAAACTTAATCAATAACTGATTGACTTTAATAAAGTGCAATAAGTAAGTATCACCTTGATTTTACAAATGTACCGACCTTTTTAGTTGGTCATGGCAAAGAAAGGGGCTGTACAAATTTCTTTTGAAAACATAAACTTAGCTTGTTCAAATGAATTCCGATTGCATCTGCTGTATGTAAAAATCGTATTTGTAGACCATGCAGCGAGAGGTTGGGCGATATTCGATAAATAACTTTAAAAGCTTAGTTAGAGTCGATTTGATGTCCAGTGTCGACGAGATGAGCTAGTATTGACCTGCGTATAACTTTATTCGGACTTTTGCCAAACCAAGATGGGAGGTGGTCAGAAATTCGACGATGAACGTTCCTGATCGTACGCCCTATGTAACTAGCTCCGCATGGGCAGTTAAACTGGTAATTACACATTTAGGAGGCGAAACAGGACAGTCTGTCTTTATTTATTACACTAAGTATTGGTTGGCTAGTGAATACACAGGATAGCTTAGCTGCATAGAAAGTCTTTTTGAAGGCTCTTCTCAGATGTTATGATAAGATCTCACAATTGACATCACCCGTGAATTATAACCTTAAGAAGATTGGCATTTTGGGGACAGTCGTTAATTTCGACTTCTTACTTCCTGAGTTCATGTGTTTCTTTACGAATTTAGTTAAATATCCGTTTCCATTTAGTAGATCACGAATATTATCGGGCTCTCTGTTCAGCGTCTTGTTTTAGCAAATAACTCTAGCTCGGTGAAACAGAAATTTCTTTGGATCCAAGTGACTGAGTGGTATACGAACTCGCCTTATTACCGGAAGATCTTCAGTCCGAAATCCGATGAGTGTGTACTGACGAAGAGCCTCAAACTAGGGCGAAACACCTGTCTAACACTGCCTAGTTTTCCAACGGTTCCCTAAATGATGTCATTTAGTGATAAAAACTGTAAATAATCCAATCCCTACAAACCAACATTTGATAATCATAAAGTAAACTGCAGTTGAAGTGGATATATTTGATACACACAATAACATTCAGCATTTCGCCATCATTTTCATATTAAGATAAGTTAGAAATAGTTATGAAGTGAATCATACTTTTTTATGTAATAAAGCATTGACAAGTAGAGCAAGCAACTAGTACGACAGCTATCACGACAACGTTTTCGAACAAATTCCTGTAAAACCTAGTAAATGCCAGTATATACATACATATATGAAGAATTTTGATACAAAAGTAACTGAGGTTATTTCTTTATTATTATTATTGTTCACTTGGGTTCCTAATGGAATATAGGGCTTCAACTGAACGTCTCCACTTGCTTCTGTCTTCTGCTGTACTTTTCACCTGCATCCATGTTGGTCCATACTCATTCAACTCCTCTTCACACGATCTCCTCCATGTCACCCTTGCACTGACGTCCCACACGCCGCTTCCCTCTCGGGTTCCACCCGAGAGCTTGACGCGCGATGTCACCCAGCGGTCTCCTCAGTGAGTGACCGATCCATCTCCACTTTCTCCTGCATATTTGTTGGGTGATTGGTTCTTGCTTTGTTTGTTCACATAGTTCCTTGTTGGTGATTCTTTCCGGCCCGGCCATATGATCTTCAGTATAGAGCGAAGACAGTTGTTGATAAAGGTCTGGTCTGCAACAGGCTGTTGGAAATATTCTTTGTGACCCACCCGCCAAGTTTCCCATCCGTATAGAAGAACTGACTGACTTGACATTTGTATTGCAAATCCGACCGAATTTTGTTGTTGATGGTGAGTAACGAAGATTTCCAGATTGATTTCAGGTTGATGAATGTATTTCTCGCCTTCCTGATTCCCGCTCGATTTGACATCCTCGTCCGTTCCGACTGCCTGTAGTTGAGACAATGCTCCCTAGATGATAAGTGAATGAAGTAACCTCTTTCAAATCCCTCCCGTTGATGGTGATTGACGCTGGATGTTGCTGCTGCTGTTGTTATTTGAGGTTATTTCTATTATTTGTCCTCAAATAACATGGATTAAATGACCATCCAAATTAGAATTTGTACACTTATAGTTTAAAGGCTTTCACAGAAATGTGTGAGGTTGACAAAATTATTAACAACGACAATAACTCATCTGAAGTCATCTTCAACCTGTCTGATTACATCTTATATATCCAGAAAATGGTTATCACATATAATTCTCTTAAGTAGGAGCACAACTTGAATGAAATTTGACATATTAAGTTAACTGATGAAATTTAAGCAGAAATAAAAAAGAGAAGAGAAATTCTATTAAATCTCAGATTTCACACAGCCTGATAACCTCTAATAATAGTTTGTCCTTTGAAAAAATTACACATTTCGAGGTGAAAATTGACTACGACTCCTTTGTAGTAAAAAAAAACAACTAAAAAGTCTGTTTCAGAGAAGGAAATTTTCCTTCCAGAGAAGTCACCAACTAGGCTGCATATTTGTGCTTATATAGTAAAAGGGTGAGAAAGTTCAAGTTCTATTTTCATTCGAGGATCAGATTATGTCGGGTAACAACAGTACAAATAAGGAATAAAAACGTAATAATAATAAATAGACAGGAAGTTTAGATAAAAGACATTACTAGGAAAATAATTATTGAGAAAACTGACTACTTATGGTAGCCATGGTAAAGACAATGGTTGAACGTATTTATTTTGAATACATAGCATTAATTGGTTACAGGATTTCATCATGAGCTGACATTAGTTAGAGAACCATTGGAAAACCTGGGAGTACTGGACAGCTGCTTCCCTCGCCCTAGTTTGGGACTCTTCAGCAGTACGCACCCACCGGGGTTCGGACCCAGGACCTTCTGGTTTCAAGGCGAGCTCGTAGAAAATAAAGCCACTGGGACCCGATCCAATGGCCCACGAATTCTTACTTCTGCCAAACTTGAATATCGATGAGATGATCACCGGGGAATAGCCCTGGGGTTCTAGTGAGAACTCGTGACTAGTAGGGTGCAGCATACAAATACTCGCCAGAGACATTGACTAGAAGTCGCGCTATATCGTGAATTGGCAGCTCATGATAAAATCCTGTAACTAATCAATCAAATCCTCACGAACCAATGCCTGAACGTAGCATTGGACTGAATTTCCCGAATGACAGCGCCTCAGCTATACCCAGATGTTTAGATATAACTTCCTTTGACAGTTGTAGTCGTATTTTGTTTAGGATCTCAAAAGACTTTTCAAGCGAAGGTGAGTGTTTTGTGTTCTCCAGATGTTTTGTTACCAAACTATAGACACACCTGTGTTTTTCCGTTACTAGCCAGGTTGAATAATGTACGTCTTGTGAGCCGGATCTGCGTGATAAAAACACTAGACGGCTAATTCTTCTGTTTGTGATCCGGTTCATCTACACCTAACTATGCATTCTAATCAGTAGTATGTGCCATCATGAGGGTAAGTCTTTAGAATGTGATGGCAGTGTTTATGGAAACACCGCTTAAATTTCCCACTCTGCACTATAACTTACATAAAAAGGATTATGAGTCGGAAGGAACGTCCGCTTTATTTATCTATTTATTCATTCTTGTTAGATAACAAAGTTGACTCCAATAAATCTTCATCGTCGTCATCATCGCTGTACGACTCTGACAGCAATAAAATGAAGCTGCCTGATTATGAATTACAACCCTTCCCGTCATACTTTTTCTTCAACTCTTCAGGACATCAGTTAAGATGTGAAGAGGTAACTCTACAGACAGTCTTTTGATATTCATTCTCTGAGAGAAAATCTCTGTGAATATAACGAAATAGAGACCTGATGAAAGGTTGAATTTCTCAACATGTATTTTATGGATTGGTACTGCGAAAAGATATCGGTTTTCACGCCAAAGTCAATTATCGTACACACACTTGCACACAATATAAGTGCAACAGAAAAAATATTCAAAAGTGTATTTTCAAATTTTAATTTCTAAGGTTCTAAATTATGCTAACGAATGACTGATTAAAGACTGAGGTTATGTAGAATTCGAGGAAGAAGCCTTGATCAGTGAAGTTCATCAAGTTGAATCTTAAAAAAAATCTATTCACCGATAATATTAGTTGGTTGTGTGGCTAAAAAATAGAGAATTGACAAAAGTTGGAATTCGCAAGCCATTTGATTCTGTCAACCAGCTAACCTCGTAGACTGAAGCTCTATGGTTGTGTCGTAGATGCTTACTGATGAAGAGTCCCAAACGCGGAAAAAATACCTGTCTATCACTCCATGATTTTCATTGATGCTTATCTAACTGATATCCTCTTGTCATCAAAATTGAAATATAGTATACTGCTTTAAAAATCAGAACCTCTGTGATTCTTTAAAACGCAAAGGAAAAGAAAGCAGACTTTTGAACACCATAATGAAACTTCATTCAATTTTAGATTTTTTTCCCGTCGATTGACTGAATTGAAATGCTCGGTCTCAGGTTGGTATTCAAGTGTTGGTTTGTAGGGATTTGATTGGTTTCAGGATTTCATCATGAGCTCACATTAGTTGGAGAACCATTGTATTTTCAGGTAGTTTGCAGCTGATGAGAACCTGTGAAATAGAATGATATCATTTTATACTGCAAATCTGGTCTTTCTTTCTCTATCAAAAGAAAAATTAGAAAACCATTGGAAAACCTAGGAGTACTGAACAGCTGTTTCGTCCTAGTTTGGGACTCTTCAGCAGTACGCATCCACCGGTATGTCGCCTCCTTAGGCAGATGCTTCGACAATGTATGGTTATGTAACCTGAAGTCGATTGGTGGATGGTGACTAGCAGTGGAATCCTAGATAGTGCCTGAAACTATCGGCACTGCGTTCAAGCCTCAGTGGAAACACCATCACTTACCGGGGAATGCAGGTACATCCAGATGATGAGTCCCGAATAGGGGGAAATGCCCGTCTTGTATTTCACTGCTAGTCACCATCCACCAAATGACTGTAGTAAAACAGTAAAATAAGCATTTTTCTTTAAAATAAGACGATCTGACTCAGTCCATGCAAAATTATTCTTTATGGGTTATTTAAAAAAGCTTGTCATCATCACCATTAGTATC